TTGTAATGTGGTGCCCAAAACTGAATGCAGTATTCCAGGTGTGGCCTTACTAAGGCTTCATAAAGCGGTACTAATACTTCACGTGATTTTGATTCTATGCCTGTGTTTATACAACCAAGGTGTCAATGCTGCAAATACTGTATATTCTTGCAAGAATATACAGTATTTGCAGCATTGCCACAAGGATTGTATTAGCTTTTTTGGCTGCTGCATGATGCTGGTTCATGTTTAAGTGGTTGTCCACTAGGACTCCAAGGTCCTTCTCAAAGTTACTCTTTTTGAGCCAGGTTTAGCCTAATCTGTACTTGTACCTTTGGTTTTTCCTGCCCAGGTGTAAAACCTTGCTTTTCTACACATTAAATATCATTTTGTTGGATAGGGCCCATTGCTCAAGTCTGTCAAGATCTTTTTGGATCCTGAGCTTGTCTTCTGGGGTGTTAGCTATTCTTGCCACCTTCGGGTCATCTGCAAATTTGATGATTTCTCCTTCTGTTCCGTCATCTAAGTCAGAAACTCGTGGTACCCCACTGATTACGTCCCTCCATGTAGATGTAGCACCATTAAGGATTACTCGTTGTGCACAGTTTGTCAGCCGTTTACAAATCCATCTATCCCACATTTTTCTAGCTTACTAAGAAGTAGGTTGTGGTGTACTTTGTCAAATGCCTTGCTGAAGTTTAAATATATTATGTCCACAGCATTTCGCTTGTCTACTAATTTAGTTACTTTGTCAAAGAATGAAATAAGATTGGTTTGGCATGATCTGTTTTTAACAAACCCGTGCTGGCTACTAGTTATAACTTTATTTGTTTCTAGATGTTCACAGATCTGTTTTTTATTACTTTTTCCAGTATCTTCCCAGGTATTTATTTTTGGCTGATTGGTCTGTATTTGGGTCTGGGTTTTTTCCCCCTTTTTTGAAGAGAGGAACCACATCAACCTTTTTCCAATCCTCAGGTACTTCCCCGGTGCTCCAGGATTTGTGAAAGATGTGGTGCAATGGTTCTGAGATAACATCTGCCAGCTCCTTCAGAACTCTGAGGTGTAATCTGTCAGGTCCCGGTGATTTATATTCATCAAACCTGCCCTCCCTTTCCCCCTAAATGCTTCCAGTTAAAACATAGTGGAGAAAGAATAGTTTGTACAGTCTTGATTAACGTGTAGAGAAAATCAGGAAATTGATCTTGTTAATTGAGGCCTTTGAACTATGGTGCTGGAGAAGACTCCTGTGAGTCCCCTGGACTGCAAGGCGATCAAACCGGTCAGTCCTAGAGGAGATCAACCCCGACTGCTCTTTAGAAGGCCAGATCCTGAAACTCAAGTACTTTGGCCACTTAATGAAAAGGAAGGACTCACTGGAGAAGAGCCTAATGCTGGGAAAGATTGAGGGGAATAGAAGAAGAGGACGACAGAGAATGAGGTGGCTGGATGGAGTCACTGAAGCAGTAGGCGTGAGCTTAAATGGACTCCAGAAGATGGTAGAGGACAGGAAGGCCCGGAGGAACGTTGTCCGTGGGGTTGCGATGGGTCGGACACGACTTCGCAACTAACAACAACAACATTGTCTAAATCAAGAATTTGACATTTCCTTACAAAGGAGCTTAAAACTGCTATTTGGCTTTGAATAAGAAAATATGTTACTTCTTTTGTTACCATTTTTATTCTCCTGGGAAGGTTATATTGCTGTATTGTTACAAGCAATGAGAAATTTAGTTGGGCTTCTAGCTGGCTAACGTGGGCAGGGCCCAGTGTCAGAACATGTTGGAGATTAATGTAAATAGGTTATGACTTTATTATTTTACATGCAGTCTACCTTTAATAAACTATTGTGTACATTTGCTCTAAACCTGTTTTTCTACAGTCATAGAAGCCTTAGGAAATACTTGAAAGAGTTGGGCTGCTGCCAACTCCTGTTTTGAATTGAGAACAGCCATCTGCTGATTTAAAGCATAGTTCACCAGGCTACCATGGAAACCCAAGTGTTAAATAGAAGCTAGCTCTCTAAGTTTAGAAAAACAAAAACCTTGTGGAAAGTAACTTTTAATCCTGAAATGCTGGTAAAGCTATAATAGACTTTCCGCCGGATATGTCTATGGAGATTCTCAATCATCCAGATCATGGTTGTCGCAAAGATACTTTTTCAAAAGGCAACTGGACTTCCTTTGTTTTTCCTTGAAAATCTTTCGCTTTCTCATCTAAGAAGCTTCTTCAGTTCAGGTGGATATGTTTTCCTGTTAAAAAAGAATAATTGTGTATTTTTTTCTTATAGATAACTTCTTAGGGAACTTACGCAGCTCTATGATCCCTTCCTTCCTTCTTTCCTTCTTTCCTTCTTTCCTTCTTTCCTTCTTTCCTTCTTTCCTTCTTTCCTTCCTTCCTTCCTTCCTTCCTTCCTTCCTTCCTTCCTTCCATGGAGAGAGGTTTGTGAATCTAATTTAATCTTATCAGACAACCATAGTACTGATTGTCAGTACTGATTATGCCTTAATTCTGAGTGCTCTAAGTCAGGGGCCTTCAAACGTGGCCCTTTTATGACTTGTGGACTTCAACTCCCAGGCATGCTGGCTGAGGAATTCTGGGAGTTGAAGTCCACAAGTCATAAAAAGGGCCAAGTTTGAAGATCCCTGCTCTAAGTCTTGACTAGGAAGAAGAAGAGGAGGCTTGCCTATACAGAGCCAGTGAGGCTTAAGACTCATCTAATAATAACAACAACAACAACAACAACAACAACAACAAAACAACAACAATAATAATAACAATAATAATAATAATAGTAAAGTTGGAAGGGACCTTGGAGGTCATCTAGTCCAACCCCCTGCTCAGGCAGGAAACCCTATACCATTTCGGACAAATGGCTGTCCAGTCTCTTCTTAAAAACTTCCAGTGTTGGAGCATTCACCGCTTCTGGAGGCAGGTTAATTGTTAATGGTTAATGGTTAATTGTTCTAACTGGTTAATTGTTCTAACTGTCAGGAAGTTTCTCCTTAGTTCTAGGTTGCTTCTCTCCTTGATCAGTTTCCATCCGTTGCTTCTTGTCCTGCCTTCAGGTGCCTTGGAAAATAGCTTGACTCCCTCTTCTTTGTGGCAGCCCCTGAGAGATTGGTTCTCTTTGTTATTAAGTATAACCCCTAAGTTAAAAGGACATAGATGTGGTGCTTTACACCACTGATACCTTAAGATTCCTTGTCAGATTTTTCTCCATTTTAGAGAAAACACTTTTTATATGGAGAAGAATCAAAATGCCTATCAAATAGAAGAATATTCATTAAAAAGCAATGTATAATATAACAAAACTGGCCAACCACAGTTTTTAGCAACCAATAAAAAAGCATAGTCAAGTTAATGGCATGTTTGCACATTGCATGAGGCCATAATACAGTATATTTTATTTTTCATTTTCAATAAAGCGTGCTTGAAACAAACCAGGGCATAGCACAATATATGAACCCAGTCAATATACCAGTAATACAGTGGTGGGATTCAAATATGTGAACAACCGGTTGCCGCTTCTGGAAGTCCATTCTGGGCGTGGGCAATAAAAAATTAGCTACCGTTTCTGCCAAACTGGTACGAACCGGCTGAATCCCACCACTGCAGTAATAATTAAATACACACTGTTACACACCTTGTCCTTAGATTCCAAAGCAGAAGTATTTCAGTAGGTTACATTGAAAAATAAATGTTCCTCCCTTTTATTCTTTAGCTTAGTTGTTTATAGTATTGTTAACATTTCAGAAATATCTCAGTTTTTTAATTCAACACATCCAGTAGTTTTAGATAAGTATAAGTATTTGTATATATATATACTCAGAGTGTCAGGATTAGGGTAATCAGGGGCATAATTGTGGAAAATGAGATTTCTTCCTTCCCTCCTTCTTCCCTGGCATGTGCCAAAAGAGGAAAGATGTTGCTCTGAATTGTACCATTTTTCTGCCAGACATGGAAAATGATAAATGAACCAACTTGTCTACCTTTATGTTTTACTCTAATTTGTAGTATACTCAAGAAGTTACACGTGACAGATTATCTGCTTGAAACAATAAACAGTTTTGTCCAAAAAAAGCTGAATTATAGCTAGTACAGAAATATATCGTTTCTGTTTCTACTTGGTTTCTCCTTTGTAATATATATAAGCCTTTCATAGCCTTATAGCAGTGCTGGCGAACATTTTAGAGACCAAACTGCAACCCAAAACCCACTTATTTATTGCCGGGTGCCAGGTAGGCGTGGCCCACTGGGTGGGCGTGGCTGTGGTGGTCATGGCAGATTGGGTGGGTGTGGCCAAGGTGGGCGTGATCACCTCAATGTTGCTCATGGGGAGGGACGTCTGTGGGGGCCGGGCAGGATTGGGGGAGATCTAGGGGGTCTCTGGCAGGTAGGGTGGTGGGCAGGAGGCTCGTCCTGTGGGGTGAAGAGAGGCAAGGCAAGGCAGGGCAGGGGTGCCATTATCACAGGGCAAGGTGAGGTAGGGGTCGGGGCGGCTGCTGCCTGACACCATCGGCCCCTGGACACAGGCCAGCAGTGAGCGCATGGGTGCTGGGATGCATCCGGCCATGTGGGACCTCAGCGAGTTAGCGGGCAGCTGGTTGAAGAGGGATGGTTGCCATCTCCGGGGCATGGCGCACGTGCCCACAGAGAGGGCTCTGAGTGCCACCTCTGGCACCTGTGCCATAGATTCGCCACCACTGCCTTATAGTATCTATTCAAGCCAGCTAGTAGTTCTTATCTTTTTTTCTTGCAAAATAACAAGTGTGAAATAACTGAAATCTAAGTGCAGACTTTCAGTATTTTTTAAGAGGCAGGTTTTGATGTATGAGCACGAGACGTGCCCAGAGAATGCAGTGCTCAATAGCTGTGACCAGAATAGACATAGTTTGAAATTACAGTTGTCTGGATATGAACCTGTTTTTCCTTTTTTTTTCTCCTTACGTAATATGTATTCTTGGCTTCCATAATTAATGTGTGCTTGCATTCAATTAAAATATTTTCTTTATACATAGGTTGGTCTTTGGGATGCTGTATCCTGCTTATTATTCCTACAAAGCTGTAAAAACAAAAAATGTCAAGGAATACGTGAGTACTGAATTCCAACGTTTCTTTTCAATGTTAACGTTTATTGAAGTTTTTTGAGAGCGCATGCTAGCTTCGACGATAATACGGTATTTTAACTTGTGAAGAGAAGTTAATCATGGTAATTTATGATACCCTGAAATCTTATTTTATGTTTAAATGAGGTGTTGGTGTTGCACTATTTGATTTTTAAATTTGATGGTAAATTGAGAAGTAATGCATGGAACAGATCCTTTCCAAACGCAGCTCCTCTTTGCTACCTTCCTATTCTTTGTGAAGCATATTTTCTCCTTGCCACCTTCACAGCGATTAAATGATATGACTGAATTGGAGAGCCTAGATGTGTTGGCAATTCTTGCAGGGAAGGAGAGAAAGCATATGCTGCACATAAAATTCTGCCTTAACGTGGAAGGTTATTAGCTGCTTCTTCACGGACCTGTTTGTAGAGATAAGCCTACAAAAAGCATACAAAATACTTTTTCCAAAGTTTTGGAAAGTGCTTCCAAAACACACAAAAAGCATCATGCTCAAGAAATTTATTAAAAATTTAGGCATATGAAAAAGCCACAGTAGAAATCACCTATGCATGAGAATGCGAATATTACACAAAGGAAAAAATATGACCTTTACTTAGTACAAAAAAGAATGGAGTGAGTTCATGCATTTTGCTCAACCCTGGGTTACTTAATCAAGTAATTAACTGAATCCTAATATTAGTTGAACAATAATATAATTACTTTTTATCTTTTCCATATTTTAATTAAAAGTGCTTAGCATGCTCTGTTTATGTTGACTCTTGGTAAATAATAAATTAGTTTTTCTCCTCTGGGTGTATTGAAAGTGTCTCTGGGTATCGTTAGAGACTGTAAGAGTATTGTTTTAGGTTGTTTCATAGAATTCAGGTACTCCAGAGCTAATGATATTTCTGATGCATATGCTACTCTTTGACATTCTGTGTTTCCCTGAAAGTAAGCCCCAATCTGATTTTTGGGGGTGGGCCTAATATAAGCCCTTCCCCGAAAGTAAGCCCTACTTAAGAGCCTGTGCAGACAGCCGGCCGCCGATTCTATCTGGTTTCTACCATAGACACGAGGTAAGGGGGGGTAGCTGCCAGTGCCTCTGGGATGAGGCGAAGCCATAGGGGAGGGGGGATTTGACCCACGTGCCCCGCTAACCTACGGTATACCTTACTGCCGCCTCTCACGCCGCCTGGCTTGTTCCGCGGCCAGTTTCGGCAGGCCGTATCCATTTGCCACATTGCTCATCACTCCTGCTAATGCCACTGCCGTGAGGCTTGGCAGATCCCCCCCGATGTGACCCACGTGCCCTGCTAACCAACGGTTTATCAGTTCCTTACCGCCACCCGGCTTGTTCCATGGCTGGTTTCAGCCAGCTGCAGCCATTTGCCGCATCGTGCATCGCACCCAGTGCTGCCATGAGGCTTGGCGGATCCCCCCATCTGACCCAAGCAGGGCCATAGCTATGCCTCCCATGCCTACAGTAACCCTAACCCCTATTTCCCCCCAACCCTAACTGGAGATGGGAAGTCTTGGGGGAAAAAATGGAAAACATTGGATGGAAAAAAGATGGGTTTCCCCGTTTGTTTCCAAAGCAGTTTGGAAACAAATGGGGGGGAAAAACCTGTTCTTTACAGGTTTTCCTGGTTTTTTCCAGGTTTTCCCATCTCTAACCCACACTCCCCCAGGGCAGTCACAATGCCTAATCCCAACCCTAACCATCAGTGAAATCAAGTCTGACACCCCTGGTTTAAGCATGCTTTAATTTAATGGCAGATTTTAAGGGAACGCTGTAATATCCCCCCTCCCCAACAAGATGAGTTCAAAAAGAAAGAGGTAATCTGTCAGGTTCAAGAAAGGGATCATGGAGGACTCTCAGGGCAAGAATCTTACAGCTTTCTGCAAAGAGAACAAGTTGGATCCCCGTATGGTCCGAAAATGGCGAGCAAAGTACAATAACCTTAGCCAACAGGTGGATGAGGGAAATGCTAAGAAGCGAAAGTGTGGAGCAGGTAGGCAGCCATTATTTCTTGAACTTGAACAGCACATCTGATTGGATTGCTGACAGGAGAGCAAAGGCTTTGGTTATGCGCAGGGCTGACGTTCAAGCATTTGCCTTTGCACTGGCGCCACAATTAGAAATATCCCCAGAAGAATTCAAAGCATCACAACACTGGCTGGATGGCTTCCTTCAGCAGTATGAACTTTCTCTAAGAAGATCAACCACACTGTTCAAGCTGCAGGATACTGAACTTATTAAACGTACACTTTCATTCAAGTCCTTTGTTGATGGCATCAACTTTTCAAAGTACCAGCTGTCAAACATGATTGCCATGGATGAAACTGCAGTGTTTAGGGGCCAAGCATCTCAAAACAACAGTTGATCAGAGGGGTGCCTCGTCAATCTACATTCCCTCCACTGGTTACGAAAGTACACGTGTTACCTGCATTTTGGCAATTCATCTGGATGGAACGAAAGTCCCACCTCTAATCATCACTAAGGGCAAGAAAGATAAAATTGAACGTGTTTCAGACATTTTTGTCCTTGAAACCGAAAAAGCCTGATGCACACAAGCAGTGATAAGGAAGTGGGTCGATTTAATGCTGCCACTTGTTTTGCGTGGTGGCCAAGGAGGTCTGCTAGTCTGGGATTCAGCCAGCACTCACCGTGCAAAAGACATGAAGAAGTTCCTTGGAGAGAGAGAGGAATAGACCAAATAATGATTCCTGTAGGAATGACTGCCTATCTCCAGACTCTGGATATTGCCATAAACAAGCCATTCAAGGACCATTTGCGCAGGGAAATCAGTGACTACATTGAACACAGAATGGAGAGAAATCAGCATGGGAACTTTGTGAATCCTAGTCTGCCAGAGGTCGTGACTTGGGTGAAGAATTCGTGAGATAAAATCACTGGCAGCTGTGTTGCCAATGCACTATGGGCAGGCTACATGGACAAGAAGTGCTCATTTAGGGAGACCGCTATTGCTGGACATGAGAGATTGAGACCAATGGTTCTACAGGAACTGGGGTTTGGGAGAGGTACCGTGTGAAGATGTTGCAGAAGAAGACGACTATTTTTGAATGAATTGAATAAATAAATAAATGATTGCTGTACACCAACATTGTGATTGCCTGGGGGAGTGTGGATTAGAGTTGGGGTTAGGCACTGTGGTTGCCCTGGTGGGATTGTGGGTTAGAGATGGGAAGGCCTGGGAAAAAACCAGAAAACTTGTGAAAAAACAGGGTTTTTCCAAATTGCTTTGGAAACAAACGGGAAAAACCACTTTTTTTCTCCCATCCAACTTTTCCCAGTTTTTTTGCTCAGGGCTTCCCATCTCCAGTTAGGGTTGGGGGCAAGTGGGAGTTAGGGTTACCGTAGGCATGGGAGGTCAATCAATTCCAACTTCTCGCGGGGGAAAAAAAAGATCTTGCGAAGTTAGAATTGATTGATTGACATTTGAATTGAAAAAAATGACATTTCCCCCCCTGCACATGGTAACGGAGGAGCGTGAAGGAGAAATGGGACGGGGTTGGAAGTCAGGTAAGCAAAGACATTCAATTCCTGGGGGAAGTGAGGGCATCTGGGCAATAGTTTGGCAAGCTCTCCAGCTTTGTGGCGGCAGAGAACTGCGACGGAGCTTCAAAACAGGTGGCAAGATGCTGAAACAGGCCCATCTCTGTCCCAGAGCTGCCCAGGCCCGCCGGAGGGAAGGCTGATATCTCCGGGACTTACAATAAACACGGTGACGCTCTGGCAGGAAGCGGCAGCCGGCATGGGCGCTGACTGCAGGATGCCTGCTCATTTCAGTATCCTCCGTCCCTAAACCTCTGGCGCTCCACCTGCCATTTTGGTCCTAGGCTGCCGCCTCCCTGTTCATATCTTAGGTGGGCGTGGCCAGGCCAGGAAGGCAGCCTCCCCGGATCCCCAGGGCAAAGGCCCCCCGTTCCGGCAGAAGGAGTGTCGGCCTGGCCGCACCCACCTCGGCATCCTTCCTGTTGCCGCCCAGCACGGCTGCCCCGGGGCTGCAGAGGCTGGCCTGGCATGGGAAAGGCACGCGTCCTACCTGCCCGCCCACACCGGTACTTGGTCCGCCACCACGTTCTCGCCGCCGCATTGCGTCTCCACCCCATGCGCAGGCCCCGCCCCCGCGCTCTTGCGGCCTGCTGGTACCGGTAAAAGTAAGCCCTACCCCGAAGGTAAGCCCTAGTGCTTATTTCAGAGCCCAAAAGAAAGTAAGACTGGGTTTTTCTTTGGGGGAAACACGGTATTAGTCAATTAAGCTTGCTCCAGAATGCAGCTGTCTCACTCTAGCCACAAATTCTTCCAAGGAGAAAGCAATTTTCTTTACTTTTCAGCTTTGTGGGCTAATGAAGCTCGGGTTGCTCTCTGCCTTGGGAAAAGCAGCTGCAGCCAGGCAGAAATGCTTCCCACCACCACTTCCCCAAGAATAGCATCAGCTCATCCTTTCTCCCAAAGGGCAGTGTAAGTTTAAAGCCCCAGAAATTTGAGAGGAGATGGGCCCATTCATTCCACACTCACAGATTACTCACAAGCATTCACACTGATGTTCTAAGTGTCTGGTGGCTAATCAAGCTACTTCCTGACATTTTACCATCGTGCTGATGTCCATAGGCAGGCCCTTAGCTTACAAAAGTGTGGGTGTGAAAGAGAAAAAGAGGAAGACAACAAACAGGCTAGGACCGTGGTGGCGAACCTATGACGTGTGCCACAGGTGGCACCCAGAGCCTTCTCTATGGTCACGCGCACCCTTGCCCCAGCCCTAGGCTTTCAGCTGGGTTTTATAAAACCTTTTCGCTTTAGGCCTCCGCCGCCATGTGCAAAAAAAAAAAAAAGGTTCAATCAATCAATCAATCTCAACTTCTCATGGGGAAAAAAAAGATCTTGCAAAATTGGAATTGATTGAACTTTTTAGTCCCACCCAGTCTGCTGTTACCACCGCAGCCACGCTCACCCAATGGGCC